GAAAACATGCCTTTTGGACTGGCTCAGTCACAGCCCAGACCTTAACCCTATAGAGATGATCTCAAGAGACCACCAGACATCCTATAAATGTGTCTGAGCTGAAACAGTTTTGTAAGAAGGAATGGTCAAAAATTCCTCCTGAAAGTTGTGCTGGTCTGATCCTTGGCTACCGAAAGAGCTTGCTTGAAGTCATTGCTGACAAAGAAGGTTCAATGAGCTCTCCTAGATTGTAAGCTCTAACGAGCAGGGCCCATGTTTCCTCTTGTACCAAATTGTATTGTAACTGTAATGTCTACCTTCATTTTGTAAAGTGCTGCGCAAACTGTTGGCGCTATATAAATCCTGTATAATAATAATATTAACTCCAAGGGTTCACATAGTTTTTCTCCCAGCACTGTGAATGTTTAATGGCTGTGTTCAAGAAATTAGAATTGTGTGCTATCAGGTTAAGCACATTGTGTTTGTTTGTCTATTGTTGTGACTTAGATGAGGATTAGATCATATTTTATGGCAAATTACCACAGGAAACCAGTTATTTCCAAAGGATTCACATACTTTTCCTTGCCACTGTAATTTTTGGACAGCACCAATCAGCCTGTATTGTTTATCTGTTATTCCCAAGCAGTGTACAAGGTGGCATATGTGGCACATACCTGATTTAATGAGTACAATAACTTCCGACACTAATAAAACATGAACAAGCCATTAAAATAGCCACTGAGGTTGCATAACATTGCAGTATATGTGCCTGATGAGCTTTGTGCTTGCTATTAACCTGCCTGTATAAACCATAGCAATTACATAAGTGCCCATACGTGTAGTTTCATGTAATTATTTTAATGATCCCAGTTTTGTGGCCCCAAATGCATTAATATGCCTTAAGCTTAGGAATATTGTTTTGCTCATTCAGAGCTGTAGTCCATGCCTTTTTGTAAATAGACTTAGCAGGTCATTAGTTTTCATGTTATTTAATGTCCTTTTATAGTTTGAAGGCTGACCATGAAAACACCGTTTATCCTACAGAGACTCATTGTATGTTATAGATGTTCTGCAATGCCAGATTTCACCAGCAGGTGCCACGGGAAAACTATAGCACCAAGGCTTTGTGTAGAATCTGTGTGTGAAGAGACCTCTTTGCAGTAACACATGGAAAGGTCATATAAGGGATTTTCAGGTTCCCTGATCACTTGAAAGCCAAGCCTTCTCTGACACTTTTTGTTTACATTTAAAAAATGTAGTTTGTGCCCCTAAACATTACACACACACACACACTCTATATTGCGAAACATATTGTGACGCCGGCCTTTACACACACATGAACTTTAATGGCATCCCAGTCTTAGTCTGTAGGGTTCAATATTGAGTTGGCCCCGCCCTTTGCAGCTATAACAGCTTCAACTCTTCTGGGAAGGCTGTCCACAAGGTTTAGGAGGGTATCTATGGGAAAGTTTGACCATTCTTCCATAAGCGCATTTGTGAGGTCAGGCACTGATGTTGGATGAGAAGGCCTGGCTCGCAATCTCCACTCTAATTCATCCCAAAGGTGTTCTATCGGGTTGAGGTCAGGACTCTGTGGTGGAGGAACTTGACTGGCCTTCACAAACTCGTTCATCCATGTCTTTATGGGCCTTGCTTTGTGCACTGGTGTGCAGTCATGTTGGAACAGGAAGGGGCCACCCCAAACGTCTTGGTATGCTGACGCTTTATGAGTTCTCTTCACTGGAACTAAGGGGCCAAGCCCAACCCCTGAAAAGCAACCCCACACCATAATCCCCCCTCCACCAAACTTTACACTTGGCACCAGGGCTGCTGTTAGAAATCACAGGGCCCTGCACAGCCTGATCTGGTGAGGCCCCTTAACCCTGCCCCTGACCCCACACCCTGAGGGGGGAAAGAGGTGGGGGAGGGAAGTGAGAAAGGGTGAGAGGAAGAGGGGGGTGAGAGTGAGAGGGGGGTGGGGGAAGAGGGGGGGGGTTGAGGTGAGAAAGAGGGTGAGAGAGAGGGTGGTTGAGGTGAAAAGGGGTGGGTGAGATGGGGTGAGAGAGTGGAGGAAGGGTGAGAGAGCGAGTTGGGGCAGTATGTCAATTCTGGTATCCTGCTGCTGTCTTGTAGGCTCAGGCATTCAGGATCCAGAGCTGCTGCTGTGTTCTGTACATTTAAATCTGCCACCTCCATAGCCCCTTTCACAGGGGTGGGGGAATATCATCCTCCATCCACACACAAGATCATCTCTGGATCTTCCCAGCTAGGGACACAGTAGAATGAGTAGGAGATCAGGACTGCAGAGCCAGGGCAGTGATCCCGGTGACCGGAGGGACGGGGCACTGATCCCAGTGGCTGGCGAGCAGAGGGGGCGGAGCAGTGATCCCAGTGAGTGGAGGGGTGGGGCAGTGATCCTGGAGGCCAGTGAGTGGAGGGGCAGGGCAATGATCCCGGTAGGCAGAAGGGCAGGGCAGTGATCCTGGTGGCCAGTGAGTGAGTGGAGGGGCGGGGCTTGTAATGCATGGCTCTCTAGGAAATTGGACTGTGGAGAAGAGCACCGTGAACAGAGGTTGCTCTGCAGAAATGTTTGATGTAGTATGAACAGTGCCCCGCAATGGGTAGAGGTGCAGTGACAGCCTCACATGGGGCCCCCTGGCCGAATAGTCGGTCCACCCCTGTATGGAACATGTACTGGCCGGGCCCCCTACAGGAGGCCTAGTGGTACCCCCTTATCGGCGGCCCTACTTGGCACAATGCAGTCAGGCAAGTACCATTCTCCTGGCAACCGCCAGACCCAGACACGTCCATCGGATTGCAAGACAGAAAAGTGTGATAAGTCACTCCAGAGAACACGTCTCCACTGCTCTAGAGTCCAGTGGCGGCGTGCTTTACACCACTGCATTTGACACATTGCATTGCACTTGGTGATGTAAGGCTTGGATGCAGCTGCTCAGCCATGGAAACCCATTCCATAAAGCTCTCTATGCAATGTTGTTGTGTGCTAATCTGAAGGCCACACAAAGTTTGGAGGTCTTTAGCTATTGACTCTGCAGACAGTTGGCAACTTCTGCGCACTGTGTGTTTTAGCATGCGCTGACCCCGCTCTGCCATTTTACGTGGCCTACCACTTTGTGGCTGAGTTGCTGCTGTTCCCAGTTGCTTCCACTTTGTTATAACACCACTAACAGTTAAGCGTGGAATATTTAGTAGCCAGGATATGTCACGGATGGACTTATGCACAGATGACAACCTATCACGATATCACGCTGGAATTCACTGAGCTCTGGAGAGTGACCCATTCTTTCACAAATGTTTGTAGAAGCAGTCTGCATGTCTAGGTGCTTGATTTTATACACCTGTGGCCATGGAGGTGATTGGAACACCTGAATCCAATGATTTAGAGGGTTGTCCCAATACTTTTGATAATATAGTGTATACAGTATATACGCTGCTCAAAAAAATTAAAGGAACACTTTTTTAATCAGAGTATAGCATCATCAATTAAACTCCAGGGATATTGATCTGGTCAGTTAAGTGGCAGAGGGCATTGTTAATCAGTTTCAGGTGCTTTGGTGTTAATTAAATTAACAAGTGCATTAGATGGGCAACAATGAGACAACTCCCAAAACCGGAATGGTTTTACAGGTGTAGGCCGCTGACCTTTTTCCCCTACTCATCTTTTCTGACTGTTTTTCACTAGTTTTGCATTTGGCTAATGTCAGTGTTACTACTGGTAGCACAAGGCGATATCTCGACCTACAGCGGTAGCACAGGTAGTCCAACTCCTCCAGGATGGCACAATACGTGCCATTGACGGAAGGTTTGCTGTGGCTCCCAGCACAGTTTTAAGAGCATGGAGGAGCTTCCAGGAGACAGGCAGTTACTCTAGGAGAGCTTGACAAGGCAGTAGAAGGTCCTTAACCCATCAGCAGGACCAGTATCTGCTCTTTTGTGCAAGGAAGAACAGGATGAGCACTGCCAGAGCCCTACAAAATGATCTCCAGCAGGCCACTGGTGTGAATGTCTCTGACCAAACAATCAGAATCAGACTTCATGAGGGTGGCCTGAGGGCCCGATGTCCTCTAGTGTGCCCTGTACTCACTGCTCGGCACCACAGAGCTCAATTGGCATTTGCCATTGAACACCAGAATTGGCAGGTCCACCACTGGCGCCCTTTACTTTTCACAGATGAGAGCAAGTTCACGTTGATCACATGTGACAGAATTGAATGGGGCTGGAGAAGCCGTGAAGAATGTTATGCTGCCGGTAACTTTGTTGAGCATGACCATTTTGGTGGTGGGCCAGTGATGGTCTGGGAAGGCATATCTATGGAGGGACGCATAGACCTCTACAGGCTAGACAATGGTACCCTGACTACCATTAGGTATCGGGATGAAATCCTTGGACCCATTGTCAGAAGCTACGCTGGTGCAGTGGGTCCTGGGTTCCTCCTGGTGCACGACAATGCCCGGCCTCATGTGGTGAGAGTATGCAGGCAGTTCCTGGAGGATGAAGGAATTGATACCATTGAATGGCCCCCACGCTCGCCTGACCTAAATCCAATTGAACACCTCTGGGATATCATGATTCGGTCCATCCATGTTTGCACACATTTCAGGAAGGATTGGTCTACTTTTTACAGAGCTTCTCTAAACCCTTAAGGTTTTTCTGCTGTCACTTGGCAACTTGAAGTTTCAGGCCCCTCCCATAAATTTTCTATAGGATTAAGGTCTGGAGACCGACTAGACCACTCCATGACCTTAATGTGCTTCTTTTTGAGCCACTCCTTTGTTGCCGTGACGGTATGTTTTGGGTCATTGTCATGCTGGAAGACCTATCCACGACCCATCCTCAGTGTTCTGGCTGAGGGAAGAAGGTTTTCATCCAAGATTTTACAATACATCAATGTGGCAAAGTCGGCCTGTACCTTTAGCACAGAAACAGCCCCAAAGCATAATGTTTCCACCTCCATCCTTGACTGTAGGGATGGTGTTCTTAGGGTCATAGTCAACATTTTTCTTCCTCCAAATATGGTAAGTCAGGTTCAGGGGTGGACTGACCATTTGGAAACTCGGGCACTGCCCAAGGGCCCGGGGTCAATAGGGGGCCCCATGAGATGCCCCTGGTACCTTTTTCATAAGCTTTTTTGAGTTTGGGCAAGGACACAGGGGCCCCATGATCCCCTATTGCCCGGGGGGCCCCATGAGTTGTCAGTCCGCCTCTGGTCAGGTTGATGCCAAAGCGCTCAATTTTTGTGTGATCTGACCATAGCGCTTTCTCCCAATCCTTCTTTGAATTATTTAAATGTTCATTAGCAAACTTTATATGGTCCTGTACATATGCCTAGGAGTGCGGGTGCTGCAGGATTTCAATCCATGGCGGAATATTGTGTTAGTGGTATGTTTGGTGACTGTGCTCCCAACTGCCTTGGGATCATTCACAAGCTCCTCCCATGTAGTTCTGGGCTGATCCCTCACTCCATCCTCATGATCATCCTTACTTACCCCATGAGGTGAAATCTTGTATGGCGCTCCAGACCAAGGACGATTGATGGTTATTTTTTTGTATTTCTTCCATTTTTGAATAATTGCTCCAACAGTTGTCTTCTTCCCACCAAGCTTCTTGTCTTGTAGCCCATTCCAGCCTTGTGCCGGTCTACAATCTTGTCCCTGATGTCCTTTGACAGCTCTTTGGTCTCACCCATGATGGTGATGAGGTTTGAATGGAAGAAAGAGATTCTGTGGACAGGTGTCTTTTATACACATAACAAGCTGTCATTTGGAGCATCTTCTTAAATTGACAGGACTAATCTGTGTACCACATGAGCACATAGCCAGTCTGTGGGAGCCAGAATTATTGTTGGTTGGTAGGGGATCAAATTTTTTTTTTTTACTTACTGAACTGCAACTCAATTGATAACATTTATATCATGTGTTTTTTTTTCTGGATTTGTAGTTGATATTTTGTCTCTATCATTTAAAATACACCTATGATAAAAATTATAGACCCTTCATTTCTTTGTAAGTGGGCAAACTTACAAAATCTGCAGGGGATCAAATAATTATTTTCCCCACTGTGTATATTGTGTGTGTGTATAATTTTTTTTTATAGCAGAGACCCTAGATAATAAAATGGCAATTTTTTAAAAATTTTTATGTCACACAATATTTGTGTAGTGGTTTTTCAAACCAAATTTTTTGGGAAAAAATACACTTTCATGAATTAAAAAAAAACACAATATAAAACCCAATTTTTTTGTAAAATATGAAAGATGACATTACGCTGAGTAAATAGAAACCTAACATGTAATTTTGTAAAATTGTGCATTCTCGTGGAATGGCAACAAACTGCGATACTTAAAAAATCTCCATAGGCCGACGCTTTAAAAATTTTTACAGGCTACCAGGCTAGATTTACAAAGGAGATCTAACACTAGAATTATTGCTCTCACTATAACATTTGTGGTGATACCTCATGTGTGGTGCGATCAGCATTTACATATGTGTGAGCGACCTATGTATGCGTTCGTTTCTACGTGCAGAGTGATGGGGGTGCTTTAAAAATCTTTTTGTAATTTATTTTTTTTTTTTTACACTTTCATTTTTTGTTAGCACTTTTATTCTAAACATCCCTTGTGATAGGAATAAGAAATGTTTAATTGTTTACATCCGGCCCAGACCCAAAGTGACATCATAACGTCACTCCTGTCCTTCTAGATCAGGAGTGTCAAACTGGTGGCCCTCCAGCTGTTGCAAAACTACAAGTCCCATTATGCCTCTGCCTTTGGGAGTCATGCTTGTAACTGTCAATCTTGCAATGCCTCATGGGACTTGTAGTTTGGCAACAGCTGGAGGGCCGCCAGTTTGACACCTGTGCCCTAGATCATAGAGGTGAGGAAAGACGATCTGGTCTTTTCTCACCCTTGTGTCCAGCCGCCGGATCGGATCCTGGGCTCACCGATGAGAACGGTAAGCCTGGGAAACACCGGCGACCACCCCCCCCCCCCCTCCTGCTGCTTCTAAAAGAGATTCAGCCACTCTGATTACTTTTATGTGAAAGGGAAATGGCTGCTGAAAAAAAAAAAATACTGGGCTTATGGCTGATAGCTTCAACCATAACCCCGGTATTCCACTTATATTGTGTAAGGTAAAGTCTACAGGCTTGGAAAAATCTGTATGTAAATGGCTAGAAAACTGGCTAAAAGATCGTATTCAAAGAGTAGTAGTTAATGATTCATACTCTGAATGGTCTAGGGTCATCAGTGGTGTACCCCAAGGTTCAGTGTTGGGACCATTACTTTTTAATATATTTATAAACGATATAGGGTCTGAGATTAAAAATCCCATTTCAGGCTTTACATATGACACCAAGCTGTGCAGTGGAATAACGACCTTACAGGATGTCTCCAATTTACAAGCCGACCTCAATGCTCTGTTTAATTGGGCAACTATGTGGCAAATGAGGTTTAATGTTGATAAATGTAAGGTTATGCACTTGGGGGCTAAGAATATGCATGCATCATACATACTAGGGGGGGTACAACTGGGGGAATCAATGGTGGAGAAGGATCTGGGAGTTCTGGTAGATCACAAGCTTAATAATGGCATGCAATGCCAAGCTGCGGTTTCTAAAGCGAGCAAAATCCTCTCTCTTGTATTAAAAGAGGTATAGACTCCAGAGAGAGAGATATCATATTACCCCGGTACAAATCATTAGTAACACCTCATCTGGAATATGCAGTTCAGTTTTGGGCACCAATTCACAAAAATAACATTGGGGAACTTGAGAAAGTACAGAGAAAAGCAACTAAACTGATAAGAGGCTTGGAGGAGATCAGCTATGAGGAAAGATTAGAGGAACTGAATTTATTCTCTCTACAGAAGAGGAGATTATGGGGGGAAATGATCAACATGTATAAATACATCAGTGGTTCATACAGTGAACTCGGTGTAGAGCTATTCACCCTGAGGTCATCACAGAGGACAAGGGGGCACTCTTTACATCTGAAGGAAAAAAAGAAATTTAATCTCCAAACACGGAAAGGTTTCTTCACTGTGAGAGCTGTGGAAATGTGGAATAGACTCCCTCAAGAGTTGGTTCTGGCCAGCTCAGTGGATTGCTTTAAAAAAGGCCTGGATTCTTTCCAAGATACTCAGAATATAACTGGATACTAACATTTATAGGTAAAGTTGATCCAGGGAATATCCAATTGCCTCTTGGGATCACAAACAAATTTTTTTTTTCCCAGCAGGAGCAAATTGGATCATGCTTTGCTGGGGGGGTTTTTGCCTTCCTCTGGATCAACTGTGGGTATAGGATTATAACTTTTTTTTTCTATGGTTGAACTGGATGGACTTTTGTCTTTTTTCAGCCAGACTAACTATTTAAATATGTAACTATGTATATGTATATATATGTATTGTTGTCTTTAAGGGTGAACTTGTAAGACTGATAAAAAGATCCGTGTAAACCCAACTCTAAGTATCAGGAGCCATATGGGATTGACTCTCAACTTCACTACATCTCCCTGCTGTCAGAGGCTGCCTGAAGTTCTAGTCCAATGCAGACAAGTCCTTGTCTCCTTGGGTTGAGATTGACCACTGAGCTCTGCATTTGGGGAGGCAGAGAGTGGTGGAGATTTGTTACCTGTAAGTATCATGTTTTTGGGGGGTTTCAGCTGCAGATCTGGGCAGTAGAACAGCAGGATAAAGGTAAGCCTTGGACCTTCATGATGCTTTCTATACAGGGTCAGGCTTACTTAGAAGATGAGGGGAGGGGGAATAGTGCTGTAGTACCAATAAACTTCTTATCCTAGGGTGACAACGCTGCTCTTCCCTACCTAGTGCAGTGAGTGAGTGATAGGGGAAAAAAAAGAAAACAAGTGCAGCCATCACATCTATGGACTGGTAAGGTGTGATATACAATTCCTGTCAGAAAAATATGGAATCACCACTCTTGGAAAATGTTCATTGAATTGTTTAATTGTGTAGAAAATAAACTAATCACAGGCATAATAAGTATAAATCAGCACACATATATATATATATATATAGTTTGCAGTGATATTTAAAAATTTTTTTTTTTTTTTTTCACATGAGTGCTGTGACACTGGAGTGTTTTTTTTTTTTTGCATGATACACGTGTGGCACTTTAGTTCTGGGATTTAAAAGGTAATATACTATGTTGAGATTTTGTTTTTGAGGTATTTGAAGAGCACCTGTGATTGATTTGCATCTTCTTCAGTGGAGTCTTCCTATCAAGAAATTGATCTTTGTTTGGACACATTATGTGGACACTTTGAATATTGGGACTTTATTTTATTTTTGTTCTTTTATATATATTTGATATTTTTTATTTTTGGGTAATCTCTTTGGGTCTTGATTTTTTCACTATAATTGGGGGTTTGGGTTTAAGTCAATGAATATATGTTTTAATCACAGGCATGCCTCAAAATTATTTTCATTTAACACTGCAACCTTCTGACTTTAAGAAACACTTAAAAAATAAAAAAGAAGAAAATTGTAGTCATTTGCAACTGTTTTTGCAGATCAAGCAGAGGAAAAAAATATGAAATCACTCAATTCTGAGGACAATATTATGGAATAATGGGGAAAAAAAAAACACTACTTTACACCACTAGTACTTTGTTGCACCACCTCTGGCATTTATAACAACTTGAATTCTCTGAGGCATGGATTTAACTATCGACAAACAGTATTCTTCATCAATCCGGCTCCAACTTTCTCTTATTGCAGTTGCCAGATTAGCTTTGCAGGTTGGAGCCTTGTCATGGACCATTTTCTTTAATTCCCACCATAGATTTTCAGTTGGATTGAGGTCCGGACTATTTTCAGGCCATGCCATTGATATTATATGTCTTTCTTGAAGGAAAGTTTTCACGGCTTTTGCCTTATGGCAAGATGTATTATCTTCCTGAAAAATGATGTCATCATTACCAAACATCCTTTCAATTGACGGAATATTTAAAGTGTCCAAAATCTCAATATAAACTTGTACATTTTATCGAAGATTTAATGGCTGTCATCTCTCCCGTACCTTTACCTGACATGCAACCCCATATCACCAATGATTGTGCAAATTTCCATGTTTTCTTCAGTCAGTCGTCTTTATACATTTCATTGGAACGTCACCAAACAAAAGTTCCAGCAGTCTAGTTAAGTTTTATCCCACAGTAACCTTGTTTTTTTCAGTTAAGGCGTTAATGATGG